CGCTCACCGGGAGAGCGGCCCGGCCAGGCATTGCGGGGCCCTCCTGGCCCGGGCTGGAGTGCGAAGGTCTCCAGGCCTGGAGTCGTGATGTGGCGTGCAGGGGCCCGAGGCCTTTTGTCACTGTGGCACTGATCCACCCGCCTCGTCTGTCAGCCGGTTTGCTCAGGGAGCTCGGCTAGTTCAGCCTAAAAAACGTTAGGAAGGGTTAAATAGTCGTATTCGTGGAGCCTGGCCCGTTCTTGATGTGATATTTGTGATACAGCAGTAAGATACAGCAGGCACTTTCCTGTTGTGGCAAAGTGCTGTTCACGTTGGTGTGTTTTCTGGCAGACTGTTGCAGGGGATTGCATCACGTAAACTGACTTTGCTTCCTGATACTGTGCTGAAAACGAGCTCGTAGCCCCTTTCAAAGTGCTGCGACTTTATAAACTGCATATAATGGATACTTACAAGCTGATTGATATCTTACAGCAAAGTTATTCTTTGCCAACAGTTTAGATGGGCTAAGTTCAGTTACTTCTGATAAAAGGTTCTGCAACCAGTTTTCACAGACCTAGTGTTGTTGTATTAATTTCTGCTTTAGTGTAAAAATTCTGTAGACATCAATGTGTCAAGCAAAGTGTCCAGTATGTCCAGAAGATGCTAGTATCTTACAAAGTAAGCAACTGATTAATTCTGTCCACGTTTTTGCCTTAGGACTTCTCCACGACTGCTTTGTGTAGCAACACAACAGAAAAATAGTGGCCAGAACTTGGAAGAGGACCAGAGTCAGAGCCAAAACGAGCAGAAGGTTGAACCCAGCTCTGCTGAAAAAATGTTAACTGAAGAAAAGGCCAAACTGGAAGAACAACTAAAAGAAGTTACTGTAAGTGTCTTTGGTCATCAGCTGCATACTTTACGAACTGCACACCTAAGAGCATTCATTACGGGTTCTCAGTGCACAGTCTGGATACAGCTGTGTGATGGCTCTTTCGTTGTTGAATAAAACCCTCCAATTTGATAATTTCTTTAAACTTTAGAGTAGATGTACTACAAGACCCGAGATGCATCCCTGGTCCAAAATTAAAATTCCAATTTCTGGATGGAATAGGACCTTCTCCAGCCTGAAAATTTGTTACTGAGTTTCGCTGACTTCCATTCAGTTAGTTAGTTAGTTTTGCTAAGCAGAGAAATAATTTTTGGAAGCCTATGGAAGGGTTTGAGTGTGCTGTTGATGTGTGTGTTTGTGTGTGCTAAGAGCAGGCTTTCTGAAAACAGCTGCTGACTTCTCAAAGGTCAGGGTTAATGGTTTTATATAGTAGTGTACTTATTCCATACTTGGGAAGTGGAAGTTTCAAACCTTCTCTGTTGGAGAGCCCTTCAAACACAAGGCTGAAGCGTCATGTTTCCTCTGTCTGGCCTAATGTATCTTGCATTCTCTCCTGTGCGTGACCAGCAGAGGGTGAAGCATGCCCTGAGAGGTGGGAGGCACGGATTAAACAAAGGTTTAGCTTTTCTGGATGAGTACTTTATAGGAAATACCTTTTTAGAGCGTTTTAGACTTTGAGAGGTAGCCAGAACCTTCTCTAGAAGCAGCACCTACGGATCATGTGGATTGAGCTTCCCTTCTGTTGCTCTTCCCAAAGCACTGAAGGACGAAGCTGAGATGCTGTTTAACATCTCTGATGACAGCATTTGTTACATGGCTCTTCAGTCAGCTCATTGACTGGTTTTGTTCTGTTTCGAGATTCTTCACTAGCATGTGAAGGTCAAGCGTATTCAGAGTGGGATCACAGAATCACAGACTGGTGGGAGTTGGCAGGGACCTCTGGAGATCATCTAGTCCAACCCCCTGCTAAAGCAGGAAGCCCAACATGGAGCTCTGGGTGAGGTGGTGAAACACTCCACCTGAAGTACCTAAGTTTCTTGAATTTCATTCTTGGTACATCTGCTGCTAGATGGCCATACTGCTCGGAACAGACCAAAGCTGAACCTGAACAACAGAGGAGTTCACAGCTTGTGAAGTCTGGAAAAACTGGAGGATGCCCTGTGGTATATATGGAGAGGAAAGAACGTTTGGAAGTCTTGGCTGGGTTGAATCTCGTTTGCCATAGTGTCAAAATACCTTATGACTGATGAAGGTTTCCTGTGAACGCACGTCAGGAAAAAGCAGAAGTCTTTGATTCATAAAACCTGATATATCCATAGAGTTAAACATTTCTTGCAGCTAATCTGTTCACAGATATCGAGAGTCTGGAAACTCATCTTGTTTCCTTTCCCTCACTTCTGTCTGCACTAAAGTGAAACAAACATCTGCCTTGGTGGGAAGGATGCTGTGGTAACTGGCATGTTGTCTTCGGATTACTCTTTAGATGGTGGGTTTAGGCAATGTAACTGTTTAAAATGCTGGTTTATACTGAATATGATGGTTTGAATTATTGTTAGTTACCCAACCACCAGGAATAAAATCTCTTCTGTTACTGTTTTTTCTCCTTTAGGACAAGTACAAGCGTGCCTTGGCAGATGCGGAAAACGTGAGGCAAAGAAGCCAGAAACTAGTAGAAGAGGCAAAGTTGTACGGTCAGTGGAGGCTCCTTTGATGTATACCCGTAAGACCCAAGAAATGAAAAGCCTGGAAAACAGCTGACAGGCCCAGTTTTCACAAGTTGTACTTCCCAATGATTCTGACTACTTAGTTAAAAAACATTTGAGGCAGAGAGGTTTGAACAGATCTAACTTTGCATCAGAATTATAATCATCTCATTAGACAAGAGCAAGACTTAAACTGCTAAAGTCAACAACTTGAAATTTTCTTTAAATTAATTTTCAATCTGATTTCCTGCATGTACTGCACTAGCAGATTTTTCAGAAGGTTTGCAACCTGAAGCTTGCGTTTTTCACACACTTTAGTCTCAGAACTGACTGCAGAAAACTGAACCAAAAGCATGGAGTACTCACTTTCCCTCTGGCTTGGGTTTCTTGTTCTTGGTGGAGTTTTTTGGGTTTAGTTCTTTTTTGCTTAGCCTTTTAAAAAAGGGCAATGAGTGGCCTTAGAGCAGCCCTGCTGGACTTGGGGGTGCTGCTGGATGAAAAACTGACTGTGAGCCAGCAATGTGCACTCGCAGCCCAGAGAGCCAATGGCATCCTGGGCTGCACCAAAAGAAGCGTGGCCAGCAGGTCGAGGGAGGGCATCCTTCCCCTCTACTCTGCTCTGGTCAGACCCCACCTGCAGTGCTGTGTTCAGCTCTGGGGCCCCCACTGTAAGAAAGACACGGACCTGCTCGAGGGCCACAAAAATGATCAGAGGGCTGGAGCACCTCCCCTGTGAGGACAGGCTGAGAGAGTTGGGGTTGTTCAGCCTGGAGAAGGCTCCGGGGAGACCTTCTAGGGGCCTTCCAGTACTTAAAGGGGGCTTGCTGGAAAGGTGGGGAGGGACTCTTTAGCAGGGGGTGTGGTGATAGTACGAGGGGTGACGGTTTCAAACTGAAAGAGGGGAGATTCCAATTAGATCTTAGGAAGAAATTCTCTCCTGTGAGGGTGGTGAGGCACTGGCACAGGTTGCCCAGAGCAGCTGTGGCTGCCCCCTCCCTGGCAGTGTTCAAGGCCAGGTTGGATGGGGCTTGGAGCAACCTGGTCTGGTGGAAGGTGTCCCTGCCCACAGCAGGGGGGTTGGAACCAGATGGTCTTGAAGGTCCCTTCCAACCCAAACCATTCTGTGATTTTCTATTTGAATAACTTTTCTGTTCTGTTGAAGGCCACAGCTTTCCAGTAGAATACATTTAGACAGGCAGATCCTTTTCAGTGGTAGGAATGTACAGTCACTGGCTACGAGGAGTCGTAGAAACACATCTTTGTTCAAGAGCCAGGCTACTGACATCTGATTTAGCTTTTTGACAGTTCAGAACCAAATCTAAACCAGAAATTGTATGGAAATATTGCAGCAGAAGTGCTATATCATCTTAGTGTTTTACTGTCATGCTGGCTTGACAAATGGGTTGACCTTTTTTGCCACACACTATACACAGCTGTATAGTGTAATTCTGAATACAGAAGTTTTCATTTCTGAATACAGGGTCTTCATTGAATGTGTTCCGTAAGAAAAAGTATTTCTCAGTTCCATAGTATTCTTGTCCCGTTTTCATGGATGTTCGAATGCTTCATCCTGAAGTCGATTTTCAATAAACATTGTTTCACTAATGTGCTACTTAGTGCAGAAGAACTTTGAGTCATGTCTGAGCTCAGAGATGCTACATTAGAAATAAATATTCAAATAAAATTTCACGTGAAAAGGAAATTACAGATCATCTGCGTGAGTGTAACTTTTCTCATTCATATATGACTGCTTTTTCTGTTGAAGGAAGAGAAATTAATTTCTAAGACTTGCATAAATTCACAGAGATGCAGTCACAGGTAGTTGCAGAGATAACTTATGCCCAAAAAAAATCCAAAACAAAACAAACCACCTTCTAAAGGGTTTTTTATTTGGTTTGATCCAGATCACTAGACAACTGGTTAATCTATGTTTGGGACACTTCAGTTCTAACAACAGTTTTAGTTTTAATTTAAAACTTTGATTCGTATTTTTGGAACTACTTGGGCACTGTTAGTTACTGCTGTGTAAAGAGCTTGAGTCTCTACAGAGTTGTGCAGTTGTTGAAGTGACCCTTTGCTGTGTGGGTGCTTCCGTATGTTTGGTTTTTTGTTTGTTCAAACCTGAGACTTCTCCTCTGGTAATGCTCATATCACTTCTTGGTAAGGAAAAAAAGTCTAAAAACTGAGCTAGAATTGAAAAGGCTGTGGCTAGAAAAAACAAAGCAAGCCAAGACTACCAAAATGCACTGCAGTTTGTCATTGGCTTACCTCTATGGAGGAATGTGTTATTCTACTCAATTGTTTTGATTTTTCATGATTTCTAGAGGCAGTTTGCCTTGAGATTAGACCAGACTCTTGTAGTGTGAGCCAGAGAAACAGGTTCAGGACACGGCCTGTCGTTAGCTTAGGGATTGCTCGGTCTTCTGACTGTGAAAAGTGGTTTGTAGTGGGAGGGAGAGGTGTGAGTTCTTTTCATAGAATCATAGAACCGTTAGGTTGGAACAGACCACTGAGATCATCAAGTCCAGCCGTTGACGAATCCCTGTTCATCTGTCAGACTCCTCATCAGTCTGACTCTGTGATTTTTCCTCTGCAAATATTTTCAGCACATCAGATTAAAGAGTGGGATTAGGGATTTGAACTTTCAGTGAATCACAGAGTGAGAGACACATGAGGAAATTACATTAAGCCACCTGAAGGCTTTGGTAACTTTGGTCAGAATTTTAGTGTTCATGTCAGGTCATCAGCATAGCCTTAGCTCTTTTAATTTGAAATACATTTTTTTTCATGGAATCGGAGGAGGTGGTGTGGATTCCGAGGGATCTGTAACAGTTCTGTATCATCAAGCAAAATTGGAAAGGACATCTTACCCCAAGTGTTTACAGTATCACATTATCTTGTTAAAAAACTAAAAGAGTACAGAGTATTGCTGTAGGTTTTGGGGTTGTGGGTTTGTTTTTCTTTTTTTAATGCTTGTTTCCCTCAGCACACTAATCCCGTTCCCTTCTCTTTTATTTCTTTTTAGGGATTCAGAGCTTCTGTAAGGACTTACTGGAAGTTGCAGACATTTTGGAGAAAGCAACGGAAAGCGTTCCAAAAGAAGAAATTAAGGATGAAAATCCTCACTTGAAGAGCTTATATGAAGGTCTTGTTATGACGGAAGTACAGATTCAGAAAGTGTTTAAAAAACACGGCCTGCTCAGACTGGATCCTGTGGGAGCCAAGTTCGACCCCTATGAACATGAAGCGCTGTTCCACGCTCCCATGGAGGGGAAGGAGCCCGGCACTATTGCTTTAGTATCCAAGATCGGCTATAAGCTGCACGGGCGTACGCTGCGGCCTGCCCTGGTGGGTGTTGTGAAAGACGCTTAGCTGCTTAATCCGAGAATTTAAAATGCCATACAACTATTAAACAGCTGGATGGTTTTTCTCTTACACTGTGCTCTCCTCATTCCTCTGACCCGAGAGGTTTAAATGAATTGGTTGAGGTCTCCCAGTGAAAACGAAGCCATTGATGAAATTCTTCTGCTTAGGGGCCTTCAACATCACTGTTCCATACGCTCTCTTCTTAAGTGTGAAATGCAAGAGCATTAAGCCCTCTAGTGCTTTAGATTAGATAACAGTTTTTACAACTGCTGCTACTAAAGGTGCATTAAATTGAAATGAACGAAATGTTCACAAGAATTTTGCCATCTCACGTTTATCACTGTGCGTAGACTGAAAATCCCAATAGTGGTTCAAACACTTCCTTTTGTTTTGCAGAATCTAACAGTGCAGAAGTGGGTGAAGTAGTACAAACAGCCCGTTTTCTGCAAGGGTCCATCAGCTTTCACACACTGATGTGACAAATGCCCCTTTTTGTCTTCTCGGAAAGAATCTCTCTCGACAACTGAAATGGAAACCTTTGTGAATTCTGACCTGTAAATAAAAGGCACCGGAGAGCAGATGTCTTTTGTAGTTCAACCCTTTTTGTTCTGTAGTAATGTTGACTCAAGAAAACCATCTAATATTTGTATGGCATTGAAGAACCAATAGAATTTATCCTATCTCTGGATTGTTAATTTAATATTGTATAAATTGGTTTAAACAATTTTGATAGTCTCGTAACTTCCAAGCTTTACAATCAGTTTGTTATGCAAACTGTAGTTACAACCCTGCTGAAAACCAGAATACCCAAAGCAGCAAGTAGCTGTGAGTTTGGTATATAATGTCTTCTAGAATTACATAAATAATTGCATGTAAGTGGCTCAGACAAAAATGTGAACTTAGTTTCATCGTCATTTCTTGCATTTACTCAGCTTGGATCTTACGCTGCAACAGAACTTTTCCCATACACAGCTCCTGCCATGTCTAACTCCACCTGCTGCTCCCAGTCCTGCAGAATCAGGCTAAAATACAGCGTGTGAGGAGCTGAGTGCTCTGTCCTACACTTGTCTGGCCACCGGGACAGGAGCGGATGGAACTTGGCATGCTACACAACTGACACAGCAGCTGTCCTCAAAGCCTATACATTAACGCACAGGACCAGACAGTTAACTAGCAGCAACCAATGTGCATCCCGCTGTTTGGGGTTAGTCATGTTTAAGGCTTCATTCATTTATTTCAAGACAGAAAATCAATGCTTTGACTAGGGAGGGAAGGGAGAGTAATTTTTGGTGCATGTGAGAAGACAACTACAGTGTTGGTTTGGTTTTGTTTTTTAAACTAATCAAGTACAGGGATGAGGATGCCAAGATTGAGTGGAAAGCTACAGGAAAAAAAAAAAAAAAAGATATTTCATATACTGAAGTTGGAAGTAACTTAACTTCCGCCTGGGTCAGAGCACACTGTAGCTGTGTGAAGTAGGACTGAGGTTTCTACTGCACTTTGATTGGAACCTGCACTCAACTGATAGGCCAGAAAAGGGCCAGCGTTGATTTATGTACCTTTTAAGCACTGTTGTGGTTGTTCTGACCCCTCCTAGCCCCTCTGGATGTAGACTAAATCTAATAACAGCTTCATTAGTATAGAAGGTTTTCCAGTAGGGCAAATAAAACACAGGGACAGCTTCTTCTATAGCAGGTTTAGATTTTGTTAATAGGCTTCCCAGCACCTCACACAAACTGTCTTTTTTGGACTCTATTACTTCAGGGTGTTCTTAAACACAAGTTACTGTTAAATCTACCTACCATCATTAAAGCTGATAACCGAGTACGTCATTTAAATGGTTCCTCTTCCTTGGCCTGCCCTTTCAGAGAGGGAGGGAGCACCTCAGGCTTTACCAAGAACTCAAACCACCTCTGCACTCTGCCCTACAACAGTAAGAAGCCCTGAAGAAATCAAAGAACAGAGGGAGGTGGTACCCCTCACCATTTAGCTAAAATGCATCTCCACCTGTTACTGCAAAGACTTATGCCGTTTTCCTCATTACACAAGCTGTGTTACCATTAAATCAGTAACAGAAAGAAACTTTCATACAAGTTTATTTACCAATATACAATGCAAAAAAACCTAGTAAAATGCTGAGTGTGCACAACATCAGTTCGGTTTTACATGATTTCAGCACAGGCATTTGTGTGTCTGGCACAGCCACACCAGTACACTGTCCAAATGAGTGCAACATTCCCTTTAAGGAAGAAGCTGATGAGCTGAACGCGCTCACCAGGTACCTTCCTTCACAGTATTTAATGTGACATGACTTAAGAGCAACTGGGGCACATGCAAAAACATTTTGCAAGAAGAGAGAGTAAACCGAAAGGCTAATGAAGTCCGTGACAGTTGCAAAGAAATTCGATGCAGCCACCGCACAGGAGAACCATGGCAGAGCGCTTCGTCTGTGCGATTTACAAGGCAGTTTGTGGTCAGAGACTCGTGCAAACCTACGAACGCTGTTCTTAATGCCTGCTGGGGCTGCGAGGAAATGGGGCAGGAGGGCCTGTGTCCAGAACACGCTGTAACAAGCCCTTCTGCACGGGGTAGGACACACAGAACGGAGATTAATGCTCCCTCGTTACCTAGTGAGCAAATAGTACTGTAAAACATCACCGGGACTGGACTGAATTAAGCATATAGCATTAAAACAGACTTATTGCTGCCTCTATCAGTAGCAGAAGATCAGTATTTTGACCAGCTTATGGAGTGTCACTTTTTCATAGGCTTACATCAATGCTGTTAGGACAGGTACTAGCATTAGTAATATCTTTAATTAGAAAAGTCAAGAGCATTAAGCATATAAAACACCTTTCATTAGCAATATGAAGGCTAGGTTATTTGTACAGTACAGGAAGCACTTCCAGATCAACACAAGATACAAGCTGAAGAGCTCTTTGCCATGTTTTTTCTCAGCCCCTTCACCACAGAAGAGAAGCAGCGTAGCTCCGGTAAGTTGCTGGATTAACATAACTGCATCTCAACTTAAAAACAAACAAACAAACAAACAAACAAACAGCAGCTCATATCAAAGGAATGCTTAGACTAAATCAGTTCCATCTGAAAATATGGAACAGCAGCATCCTCTAGTGCAAGTCACCTTTAAAATTAAAAGCGTAGCTGACAGCGAGACATTGCTTCTAGGGAAGCCCTTTCCAAGGGACTAGTATTTGCTAAAGCAAACATTTACCACCTTGAATTTGCTTGCAAGTATAAAATAAATATTGATATCCATATTCCATACATTAAAAATACTTTATTTTACATTCATTTTGATGTTCAATAAGTTACGTCTAGCACCAAAGAAACATTTTGGAGGGGCTGAGGAATTAAGAAACTACTAAGTGTAAATGAGTTCGCTTCAACGTTTATATGACTCATTGGTGCCTAGATTATTTTTTCTTTAAAGTTACTGTTCAGAAGGGCTTTAGGCTATTGCTTCAGTTAGACTTAGATGTGCCAAAACAGTGTAGAAATATAAAAGTCACAGATTTGAGAAAAAAATAAAAAAAAAGCCCCACAATTCTTTTAAACTCTCAGCTACAAGCAGCGTTGAGGCTCCAGAACACTCTCGGCAATGGTATGTTATGGCAGTTCAGTAACGAGTTACAGGAAGAACCAAATTGCATAACAAGAATCGTAGAAAGAAAGGCTGAGCTTCCCTTCCACGGGAGTAGGACAGAGAAAATAACCACGGGTTTGTACCTCATGGACTCGTGTGCTGTTTGGACATGCATCTAGGGTGGAAGGGGTTCTTAAAGCTACTCAGCGCACTGCAGTTAGTTCCACGGCTGCCAAGGAGAGTCGGTTTTGTCTCTCAGGTATTCCACAACAAGCCACGTTCGGGTAAGCCGAAGTATTACATCCGAGAGGACATAGCCCTTACCTTTTTTGAAGGGACATTACATCACAAGCTCAAAAGAAAAAGGCACTAGAGTTTTGGTTTTTTTCTTCCTTAGAAATGCTGGCTTTGTAATTGTACCCCTCGCTTTTATTCCAAGCTCACTGGTAACACTATTTTGGTAATGCTGGCTACATTAACTAAACCCCAGTTCCTATCAGTACACCTCTGCCAAGCTGCAGAATTAACACTGTTTTAAGATTTTGTGGTATCCTCACCGACTACAGCCCAAAGCATCAAACCAAGATGACGCTTCCAGTGCTGGCACTTGTTCTGAAGCCAGCCAAGTGCCGTGTTTCGGCACACCCACACTCCACAGGAGCTGCCCAGCTGGCCTCCGGTCACAGCTTCCTGCTCTGGACAAGACCAGTAGAGAGGCTCGGGCACAAGTAACACTGTGCCACCTTCCATGGGGCAACCACCCTTTTTTATTTGTTTGGTTAAATACCAGCATGGGAATTGAAGGATGAAATGAGCATAAAAATCCTTTCCTAGTCCTCCTTCAACATCTTTCCCTTAACTGGTAGATCTTACTGGAACAGCACTGTGGAGCTGGCAGTCCCGTTACACGCGGTGTTGCATCGCCCATCGCCAGCACCCAGGCCAGGCTGCAGCCGCCAAGAGCTGTGAGGAGCTCCCTCCCCAGGGGCACTGTTCTCCCTGCAAGGGGCTGCATTCCCAGTTCTCCTACCATGTCAGGAATTTCAACTTCAACGTGCTTGTGCTTAGTCCGGTGGTCTCCAGGTGTGTGCAGTTAGAACCCTGTAATGGCTTGATTTACAGCTCCGTACTTCGGGAGCACGCGTCACCTGTGCATTCTGACCTCATCGGCATCACTTCTCCTTTTTGTTTCTGAAAACCAATCTCAGTGATCACTCTGCATTTGAGAATCTCGCTCCCTTTCCCTGTCCCTCCCAGTCAAGTTCACAAGGAGGCAGCTGCACCTCCGCAGCCCGTACAAGCTCGGAAGTTACAGATACCACAGAAGGAGGAGCAGGCTCCCCCCAAAAGAAGAAACAGTGATTTTGCTGCCTGAAGCCCCCAACCGCTGCAAGCCAACTCACTGCCTGTTTTCCCAAACCCCATTCCTGGCCCAAATCCGCCACTCGCAGTAGGACTGACCCCCGCCCCCGAGCAGAGCACCACAGCTGCCACGTACTCCCACAACTTTGCCACTAACTGGTTAACACCAAAGCTTCGGTGGGGTATGTTTTCAGCAAACACTCACGTCAAAGCTATGTCCGGATCAGCTGGGTATGAAGGCGGCTCTGCAAGAACCCTTTCCACAGCACAGGGACCTGACGGCATCTCACCTACCGCATTTCTTCCCTTCCACTCCCTGACATGGCTCATCGCGGCTGCATTCTCGACAGAAACTCTCAACCCTGCTGTCCCAGTGCCTTGGCTGTAGTTACTAAGGAGAATGTTCTGAAAGCTTAGCAATGGTCACAAAAATCCCCGCTCCACGTGCTCCTGAGCTCAGGACTTTTGTAAGCTTCACTTTTGCTGCCAGCATCACGCCAGAAAACAAAACAAAGGGAGAAGAAAGTTTCCAGCAAATGAAACTATCTCCCACCTTCAAAGAAAAGCAAGGATTACACTGATAGTCATTTGTCCAAGAGTAAGGACTAAAGTACTCTGGGACTACTGGACTTGAGTAAGTTCACAGGAAAGAAATTGGTTCTAACAGTGTACCAAGAGCAGTGAAATCCAATGCAGAAGTTTCACAATTACGTATTTTTCATGACCCAAAGCAAAAGTCTATTTGAATCGTGGATCATGAATACCGTGGGGGTTTATGTACTTGCCTGTTTTTTGTTTTTAAGGGACATAATTTCTGTATCTTTGGGGAGGGAAAGAAAAAAAAATAACAGAGTCCTTGAGAGTCCTATATCTAAGGGCCCCCCCATAAGGGGCCTCTGCTGCGTTTTTTCCAATTAGCTGAATTTCATGAAGCATCCCTGGATATCCAACCACTTTCTGTTAGAAAGTTTAAAATCCTTTTCTTCAGTACCTTATCTAAGTAACTGGGAAGGCGACTCTTTGAGGGAATTCCTTGTCTTTTTTGGAGATGGTCTTTAATGATTATTGTTTTTACAGTCACATAACGTGCAGGACTCAAGTTCAGAGAGCTGCAGAGCACCTTTTCCCTGTCCGATAAGAGTTCAAAGCCAGGCAGATTCTCAATGGCAGCAAATTCACCTTCTTTACCATCTTCCTTCCCTCTCTTGGAACTAGCTATGTTTTTGTTCTCCTTCCTCTTTTCCCGTTTATGCCTGGCTGCCTCGTACTCTGCCGACTCTTCCATTTTGGTGATTCCATTGCGACGATACCGCTGCAGCTCCCGAATCTTTGCTCGAAGTATCCTCTCCTTGTGCATGTTCTCAAAGAAGTCTTCAAACTCCTTACAAGACATGAACTGGTACAGAGGCCTCAGCTTCAGCCTCAGCTCCTTCTCTTCTTTCGTGATCTTTCGTTTGGGAGCTTTCTCCTTGTCCTTTTTATCCTTCCCCAGAAAGGCCGGTACCAAGTTGTAGTCTCGCGCGATGTTCTTCCGCCGTTGCCTCTCCTTGAGTTTCCTCACGTACATGTCCACGTGGGCTCTTTTTAACTCTATTTCCACGTCATCGTCATCATAGTTCACCGAAAGGCCACTGATCAGCGTCTCCGCGTCCTGATCATATTCGATCTCGTAGTCATCCCGCAGCGGCATGTATCCCAGCTGCTGCTGTTCGGCCACCGATATATCCAACGGAGGGAGCGGCGTGGTCAAGCTAGGGGAAAGCGGGCCGCCGCTGGGACACGTGTGGTCCGTCACCCTGTTCGGAATCGTGTCAGGGATGCAGGCTTTCCCCAGGTTGCCGTGGATATACATGCTCACGTAGTGCTCCATCACCTCCTGAGGCGTTCGGGAGGCTCCCACGTGAGCAGCCATGTCCTCCTAAACAGAAAATAAGGAGGAGCGATAAAATGATTCCCATTACATCTCCAGCACAACGTGCACCCAGGTAAGAGCACGAGTTCTTCTGCCCTGCTCCTCAAAAGCCAACTCACAATACCTGAACTTTTCTAGCAACACTTGAATTAGCCACGTTTCCATGAGATCTGCATTTCTAGGTCCAGGTAAGTATTGACATGCAGAGGGGCAGGTAAGCCACGACAGCAGCAGCAGAAACAGCACTAAGACAAGCTGCATCAGATCCTCGAGGTACAGGAACACCATCGAGACACTGGATCCACACGGTGATCCCGGAGCATCCATCGCTCCCTCAAAGTCAGCTTACCATCACCAGGGAGCTTTCTGAGTCCCAAGCCAGCACTGAGATCACTACGTCGTTCGGACTTTGCTCATTTGTATTGCATTGCTGAAGTACTTTTAGAGCAATACAGATATAAAGATAGACGGTATTTACAGTAAGAAAGACAGTATTTAGTCTTTTCTAGTTATTTCAAAACTGAAACAAGCTCCAACAATTGTAAACATTAAGGTTTTGAAAAAGTCTTTATGTTTAATGAAGCAAAACATAATCAAGCCACAATTAATGAATCAAATGATGATGCTTTTTACTGGTCCTTTTTAAAAACGAGCCTGACCGTACGCTGACACAGCGGGCAGGCAGCAAGGTTACAGCTGTGACATACTGAAGGAAAGGACCGAACACCCAGAAGAAGATGACATTCCAAGATCTGTCACCCGAACAGGCTGGGGCGAGGCGTATGCTGGA